TTCCTCTTTTTCATCCAATAATTTTTTTTTTCTTTTTTATTAAAATAATTTATTTAAATAATCTCATTACCATTGTTATAACTAACCTAAAAATTTTGTCATCTTTCTTTTAGTTTTATTATTTAAACAAATTATTATCTTAACTTTTTCAGCTTTGCATATTTTTTCATTAAATAGTACTATCTGTTTCATCTCATTTTATGTACTATTTCAAAATGTCTTTTTATGATTGAAAGATAAAAGAGAGAGAAAAAAAGGAAAAGATATGTGAAATTATAGTGTTGTTTGGTATTATCTAATGCTATCATTAATTTGGTGTGGAAAAAATAAAATAAAAATGATGATTGGTTGTTTGATAAGACAATTGCATCCATTATCATACGGTAGTTATGATGCAATGCTGAATGGATACGATGGGTGGAGTGACTTATTTATGTTATTAGAAACATTTCAATACTAGCATGTATCCGGTAAACCGGATTCACTCTTTGCATTCTTCATTCTCTCTCTTCTCTGTGCCATTATCAAGTATAAATAATTGCTCTTTCTTACCGCTTCAATGTATTATTGTTTAATAAGGTGGATCAAATTATATCGGAAACTTAATTAAACGACAAATAAAGCAACTTAATATCTTTTAACAATATTTTTCCTTTTTTTTTTTTTTTTTTTTCACCGATTTCATACACACATAAATCTTAGATAGACTAACAAATTGTGATCAATAATTACCTGCTTTATTATTTTATAACCAAAGAGTTAATAATAATTGTAAGTTCATTCCAGATGTTAAATTTGCTATATTTATTCCTTAAATCTGAATTTTCCCAAGTGATCAAATATTATATTTGATTAAATATCAGCAAATTGATATAATATTTGATTAAATTAAGTAAAGCAAATTTAATTTACAACTACAAGATTATCATACTGAAAGGAAAATATTTAATTGCTGGAAGAAATAATACTAATAGCAACATATTGCTACATGTATTCCAGTAATGAACTCATCTTTTTGGTTACCATCTTCTTTACCATTTACAACCATTTATTATCCACCAATTCCATCATTATTCATCGGTAAGTTTCTGCTCATATAACATTTGATCATATCAACGAAGTATTTTCAAATTCACTGATAAAAACTTTACTAAAAGTATTATGATGACATATAATATTTCATTAAATTAAGTGCAGCAAATTCAATTTAAATTTTTTATTAATAATTGTAATAATACTAATAATTTTAATTTTAATAATTGTAATATTACTAATTAATAAACAATAAAGAAAAAATCTTTCCAAATGACAAAAAGATAAGAAATATTATCAAGTGTTCAAGAATAGAAACAAAATGAAGTACAACCTAAGAGTTGAAACTTTAGCATGAAGAAAATTTGCTAATTTTTTACCGTATATTTCAAAAAATATAAGAGATATCAAATTAAAAATTATAAAATTTTAACATTTTTTTCCTTCCTAAACAGTTTCATTTTGAATTTTCATTACTATTATTACTATCCCAATAATTTTTGAAGCTCATGGCTTTCCGGCAATATTTCCTTCGGTGCTAAAATCCGCTGTTCCGCCATCATCATCATCATCATCATTATTACCTCAGCAATTAAAAATTCCGGAATCAGCTCAACAATTGAAAAGTCCAGAAGCTACATCAAAGCAAAATTCATCAAAATTGTTTCTCGTTGAAAGCTTACTCCCATCAGCTGTTGAGAAAAAGCAAACTACACCATCACCGGTATATATTTTTTTAATTTAGTCTAAATTTAATCCTAATCATTTCAAACAAATTGAGTTAAACCTCACTTTTGATTAAAACAATAGCTACTTGATTGAATTTTGCAATACTACAATATTCTGTTAAAATTTTTATTATCATAATTAATTATTATATTATATTACTAATAATATGATTATCTAGCTTTAATCAGTCTAAATTGTGCTTTATGTAGCTAATTTTTTTTTACTTTTTTATTTTTGACATTTCTAAAAACACGCGGAAGTCAGTAATGAATTTTTATTTTTAAAAATGTCAATTTTAATAAGTTTTTTCATCGTTCTAGCCTTTTTGTATTTTTGTAAAATTATTCACCATTTATTTAACTTTTGCTAATTTCAACTTCTCATTTTAATTGAATTTATATTTTTCTATCATACCTCTTTCTACAAGCATATTTTTGTTGCTTTTTTCTCGTCATCTCTTCAAAAATTTCATTTTAAATAATCGTTTAAATAACTTCAAGTTCAATCAATTCATTTGTTTACCAAACAGAAGTACTATAAGTATATTGACAAGTGTAGAAAAAGAATTGAGGTCATCAGTTTTACGCAACCTATTATTTGCAAAAATGATACTCAATGCTTAGCTATATATAAAACTAACAATATTTATTCACAAGTACCTATTATTCTCGCTTATTCTTTTATTCAATTTAAATTATTTCATTTCTAAAATTTTTTGATTGAAATTTTGTTTGTTTTGAAAAATAAAAACTATTTCAAAGTTTTTTTTTTTTTTTTAAATTAATAGAATTATTACTTATAAAATTTCCCTAATTGAAAATCACATAAATTTTGTAAGTTCGAAAGTTTAAATTAATATTCTGCTGTTTTCTTGCTAAGAATAAATCTAATTACTCGAAGACTTAAATATATTTTTTATACAAAAATATATTATTTAGATCCTACAAAAAAGAATTTCTCATTCTCAGCCCAAAATAAAACAGTACAGTACCACATAATAGTATTGCTACGGTACCATGTTGTTACAGTATCCACAGCTTCTACATTTACAGTTGCATCACTCGATATCTTTTCTAATATTTTTTTTTATAAAAAAGAAATATTTTTGTTGTAGTTGAGTGTAACAACAGTAGAATGGATAAACGGTGGATACGGTGTAAAGAATCCAATGTTACAAAGCTACCGTATGCCAGATATTGATGCAACACCAGCTCCTGCTTCTGAACCTGGTTTATTAACATGTCGAATATGTGGAAAAGTTTGTTTCATTAACAATTAAATCACTTCATTTTATTCCCTATTTATTAATTGTTAATCTGATTCATTCTTTTTCTTTCTATTTTCTACAAAATGAAATAAATTTAATACATTTTCAACGACAAAGTTTTTCATTTTTTTTTTGGTAATAAATTATTTTATTTATTTGACAAATTTGATAACGATTTTTTTATTGTTTGCAGAAGTTTGCATTACAAAGGCTTTTAAATAGGCATGCAAAATGTCATTCAGAAATCAAACGATACCTGTGCACATTTTGCGGTAAAGGTTTCAATGATACATTTGATTTGAAGAGACATACGCGAACTCATACAGGTTTCATTCAATCTATTTATTCATTAAAATTATGTTTAATATTTTTTTTTAATTAATTCTAAACTAAAACTAAAAATTAGGAATTTTTTAATGCTTTATGATAAATGACTATCATGAATGTATGAATAGTTATAATTGAAGTAAATAAAAGTTTTTCGAATTTCTTTGAAATAGTAATTTGTAAACAAAATAAAAGTATTATAGAATGCTGACAATTAAAATAGATGGTAATTAATAACATGAAAAATTAAATTAGCTGTTAAATTAGGTGTTCGACCATACAAATGTGATCAGTGCGAGAAATCATTTACACAGCGATGTTCATTAGAATCACATCTTCGTAAGGTACACGGTACACAACATAATTACGGTTATAAAGAACGACGAAGTAAGGTAATATTTAATTACTTCATTTAAGAAAAAAAAAAAAAAGGTGAAAAAATGATTTATGTTGATGGAAATAAGGTTAATGTAGTGAAATGATATAAAATTTGAACAATTTTATTGTCATATTTGCATATTATTATAAAATAAAAAAAAAAAAAAAAAGAATGATATACTGTAATTAATGTAATTAAATAATACAAATGTGAAAAGATTTTTTTTTTGTCAAAATATTATACATATACTGTTTGTAACAGATAAAATTTAAAACAGTAATTAATTGATGGTAATTAATTTAATGCATAAGGATATATGCTTTGTTTATATATTAACATTTTAGATTTATCAATTAACAATTTAGATTTAGATTTATTATCAAATAATATTTTAGATTTATCAATTTTTATAAATACAACAAATATTATTAATAATATTTCAGGTGTTTGTATGTGAAGATTGTGGCTTTACGGCTCCGGTGTTTGATCAATACATACAACATTTACAACTTAATCATCCGTTTAGCCCACAATTAATCAAATTAACATCCACTGGTGCATTATCGAAATATCATCGATCAAGCAATCATCGATCATCATCCATATCACTTGCAACCAGTACATCCGGAACTTTTCCTAGATAATATCATTTTATTTCAGTCTTTTTATTATTTCTTTTTCTTTTGTACAAAATTTTTTTTTTACATTTATCTGATAATTTGTGAGATAGTTAAAATTTATATAAAATCAGTTGCAAAAAATCTTTATAAATTTCACAACTTTTTTTTTTCAAATTAACTAAAAAATTTTAAGGTTTCATTGAATCAAAAAATTTAATAGATAATAGTTGCTGAAAAAAAAAAATTTTTTTTTATTTTCTTTGCAGTGATGCTTGCGTGATTCTGTTTCTCATCATTTTTTTTTTTTTTAATTTCATATTTTTTATTTTTTAAACTTTGCATAAAAATTGTTCAATTTGTTTAACATAGTTTTCATAAATTGTATATTATATATGTTCATCGTTAATTAAGAATTAAAAGAATTAAATTTTAGTGAAAAGGATCAAAAAAAATTTTTTTTTAATTGTGATAAATTGTCTTAATAAAGTCAGAAAAAATTTTGAACAAACAAAAAACATATCAAATCATTTTTTTTTTTTTTTTTTCACAAATTATCAAAAATTTATTTTGACAAAGGTTTTTTTTTTTTGAATTCAATTTAAAACCATCTAATTAATAGTAAATTAAAATTACCACATAATTAATGCTATGGATTTTTCTCACGATATTGAGTGAGCCAATTAGCGATAAAAGCGATCGGATCAATCGGTCTTCGCAGCAATGTCTCCAAAAGATTATTTTTTTCATTTTTACTATTATATTTTCCATAATAAATAACAAAGAAAAAAAAAAAGAGATTGACTCAATAAAAATTAAAAAAATTCAACAATTTTGCCATATTTTTTAGGATAAAAAATAAAAAGATAAAGTTAAAATAATTAAAATTATTTTTAAAAATTAAAAAAAAAAAAAAAAACAAACCTCAGTAAGTGCTTTAGTAAGAATTGGTGCAATAGTTCTTGCCAAATAAACAGCATTACTGCTAGTTGGTGATACAATTTCATCGTATTCAAATTTATCCTCATCATCTGTTTCATTTTGCTCTCTTCCACGTGGTGATACATTTGATGAACTAAATTTTGAAAAGATAATTTATATTTTAATAAATAACAATTTAAAAAAAAAAGACAGTAAGAATAAAATTGTGATGAATAATCATTATTAAGTATAAATAGAAAATAATGATAACATTTAATAAAAATAGCTTTTTTTTTTAATTACTTGTTTATAATTATGTAAGTTAAAAAGAATTAATAATAAATATTATTATTATTACAATAATAACAGTAATAGAATAAGAATGATAAGTTAAAAATTAATTATGAAAATATGAGAATATAATTAATAATTAATATTATAAATTACAAATTGTATAAATTTTTTTTTTTATTTAATTGATAATTTTTGAGAGAGATAGAAGGAAGGGAAAAAAGAAAGAAAGAAAGAAAATGAAGAAGAAAAAACCTGATAACAGATGCTGAACCACTACTCAATACAGAATCGGTATGTAATTGGGGTTGTTCAGGAATGAAATTCTCTGATATAGCATTATTATCATCGTTATTATCAGTCTCTTTTAACAATTCCAAATTAATCACATTGTTAAGACCATAATAATGTGGCGTATGACCTTCCTTAAATTTAAAAAAAAAAAAAAAAGAGAGAGAAAAATAATTTTAGTAACATAAATTTTACATATTCCATATTATTGTTTACATTTATCATTTATTATTATTATTATTAGCATTATTAACACTTTCTTTTAATAATTTCAAATTAATTTAAAACCATAATGATAGTATGATACTCTATTATTAATATAGTAATCTTTCCGTTATAATTTTGACAAATTTCTTCACTTAATCTTTTAAGAAATCTTTTTTTATCCTTGTATGTAATATTTTTGCAAAGAAAAAAAAAAAACAAATTTAATTAATTACATTATCTGTTGCTTTTGAATCAGCCCCAGCTTTAATTAAAATTTTTACATAATGACCACCATCACGGGTAGCTGCTGCATAATGCATTGGTGTACGTCTATTCTAAAAGATTTCAAATTACTTTTGTACTAAAATACTATTACAATATGTAATAAATTATTATTTAAATATTTCAATTTGATAAATCATCCAATTTTATCTAACTATTGTGTAAATTTTTATCAAATATATAAATTTTAAAATGTCATATTCAAGAATTATTAGTTAGTTGTTTGTTAAAAAAATACCTCAAAATGTAATAATTCAAAATCAAATCAAAAAACAAGACAAAAAAAAAAAAATTTCAAATTTTTTTTATTTGAATATTTTAAGAATTTTGATATTTTAATTAAAACAAAATAAAATAAAAAAACTTACATAATCAGAAGCATTTAATACAGATGGAAAATTTGATACAATATGACGAATTATTTCAGTTTGTTCATAAATAATTGCTGTATGAAGTGGCGTATGACCAAGTCGATTTCGTGCTATTGCTAACTTTTTTGAATTAATTAACTCTTTTACTCGTTTTAAATCACTTCTTTTAATTGCTTTATGAATTTCATCAATTTCATCCTAAAATTTACATTACAAAATTCATTGACTTACTTTTTTTTTTTTTTTTTTTATCGAATATAATTAAGTAATTTGTAGATTATAATTCTAGAAAGAAACGAAACTTGTTTTTCTTGAAATTTTTATCATGAAATGATAAAAATAAATAAAAATTTTGTTAAAATTACTCCACAAAATCAGTCAATTTTTTATTTCTCAAAATTTCACATTATTTGGTCTTATCGAATCATTAAATAAATTCTAATCTATCAATTACAATTAAAAAAATGATGGCTATAAATTTATTCAATTTCAATTATTTCACATAAAAAATAAAATGGAAAATTTATTAATTTTATAGGTAAAAATAATTGTTAGCAAAATTTTATCGTCGAGAGAGCAAAATTTGAAAAAAAAAAAAAAAAAAACTTAAAATTACAAATCGAATAATTAATTAATTATTATATTTAACAAAACCATTATTAATTTTGTTATAATAATAATAATCATTATCATTGGTTGTTATTATTTTTATTTATCATTGTTTGTTGTTACTATTACATAATAAAGAATGAATGTTTGACCAATTTTCTGTTTTTTTTTTTTTTTTTTTTTTGTTGATTGAATATTATTTGATTGATAAAATAGATCAGACAAAATATAAAAAAGAGGGAAACGAAAAAATATAATTTATTTTCTCTTTTTTTTTTTTTTTTTTTTATTTAAAAAGAGAGAGAGAAAAAAAAAATAAGGAAGAAAGAGGTTTGACCTTGTAATTGGCATAGATGGCACACTTTACTAAAGAATAAAGAATAACGTTTGGAATAAAAAAATAAACAAAAAAAAAAATAAAAAAATAAAAAGGGAAGCAATTCCGTTTAAATAAAGCATTTATTGATGCTACCTGAAATCAGAAACGGAGGAAAAGAATGAACAATACGATGACATTATAATAACTTTTACTTCTTCAAGGACAAAATTTCCGGTAAAAAGATGACAAAAAAAAAGAAATGAAAATAGTATATGCATATGACTAATTAGAAGAAAATGATTAATTAGTAAAATTTGATTAATTGAAATCAATTAAAATTATAATAATGTAAGAAAAGAAAAACTAGCAAATAAATATATAAAAATTTATTTCAAAAAATAATATAATAATATTTAAAAATTGAACAAATACATTATATTAGTTAAAAATTTAATTAGACAATATCAAATAATTGTAATATAATAACTTTTTTTTTTAAATCAAAATTTTTTAATGAAAAAATGAGAGAAAAAAAAAGTAATTATAAAAAAATTTCATACTTAAAATAATATATAATCTAACTAGTTGAGAAGAAACAATTATGATAATATTTTAATTAGCAATAATTATTTTAATAAAATAATTATTTACCAGATAAGTATTCAACTGATTGAGGAAAATATTTGAATTTGAATTACTTGTTGTATGACCAAAAAGTAAATCACCACATCCGGAAAGTACCAATTGCTCTAATTTACTAATATTACCATCATGAAGCCATTGACGAATATTTGATTGCAAATAAGATGTTGTTATACGACTACGGATAATCTGTAAAAAATTTTAAAATATTTTTTTTTTCTTTTTTTTTGTGTTTTTTTATTTAAATAAATAAAAATATGCAATACAATTTATTAAAAAAAAAAGAAAAAAACTAAATTTGAAATTAATAATTCAAAAAGAAAATGAAAATTTTATTCTAATTAATATAAGAAAATTAAAAAATTTCTGTAATTAATATAAGAAAAAAAAAATGCACAAAAAATTTTTCATTTATTTTGTTTTTGATTATTTTTTCTTTAAATAAAAATTTTTAAACATCAGCTTTTTGTTATTCAAATTTTTTTTTTCACTTTTTGTTAAAAAAAAAGCAAAAATTTCTTGTTTAAATATTTTTTAAATTTATATTTTAATTAAAATGTAACAAATCATTAATTACTTACTTCATCCAAGATAATTTCTCTATCAGCGTTAATTGCTTTCAAATCAATTTCCTCGGGATTATTTAAATAATAACTTGGTTTTCGACCATTCTGAAAGTTATTATTGTATAACTTTTTTTTTTCTTTCTTTCTTCCCCTCTATAAAATAGTTGTTGAAAGAAATTTTATAAAATTAAAAAATGATTCAAAAATTTTTTATAAAAAAATTTAAAAAAAAAGGAAATGAAAATAATTATTGACTATTAAAAGTGATTAAAATTTAAAAATCCAAAGAAAAGTTAATTTCTTTACAAATTCATAATGGTTATAAAAATTTAAAAAAAAAAATTTATTAATAATATTGATTATTGATAAAATCAGTTGTGCAAATTTATCATACAAATTAAGAAATAATCTGAATTAAATTATCTGATTAATTCATCAATTAGTTTAATTAGTTTAACAAAATTATTTTTTTAATTTAAAAGAAAAAAAAAAAAAAAAAATTTTAACTTACACAATCACAAATCTTTGAATTAGCTCCAACATCACGCATTTTTTTATACATATAACCACCATCAGATAAAGCAGCTGCATAATGAAGTGGCGTTCGTTTATTCTAATTATAAATATGAAAAGGAATTAGATAATAATTAAATAATGGAAATAATAGGTAAACAATTTAAATATAATATTCCATTAATTAAGTATAAGTTAGCATACAAATTAATTTCATATATATATTTTATCGATTGGTATGAGATAATAGAAAAGAGAAAAATGTTATGTTTTTTCCAGTAAAATCTGTTTTGAAAAAAACAAAAAACAAAAACAAATGACAGCAAATTATTTATTTTATTAGCTTTTCAATAATTGAAGTATCAATTAATTGAAATAGTTAAAATTTAATTAAATAGCTAAAATTCAATTATATTTATACCTCATTTATTAGTCAATTTTATTCATTTATCAATTTAAAAAAAAAAAAAAAAAAAGCTATCAAAATAATTTAACAAATAAAAATTTATAAAAATGATACCTCATCTAATGCATTTGTTACTTGTGGATAATTTTTAATTAAAAATTTAGCAATATCAATTTGATTCAAAACGATCGCTTTATGTAATGGTGTTAAATGTCGAGCATCACGACAAAATGCCATCTTCTTACGATCTATTAATATTTTAATTGTTCGTAAATTATCTGCTTCAATAGCTTTATGTATTGCATCAATTTTATTCTAAAATATTAATGGTAACAATAATAATAATAATAATAATATTTATTAGCATTAACAATTAAATATTAAATATCAATTGTGATGCTAATTAAATATTTACATTTAATTAGTCTTCATTTTCTTGTTTATTATTTCATTAATTTTTGTATTACCGTACAAAAATTATTTTTGAAATTTAATTAAATTTTTTCTATTTCATTATCTTTTTGACTTGTGATGTTAATTAAATATTTGTTTTTAATTAATCTCTATTTTATTGTTTATTATTTCATTACTTTTTTGATATTATTATACAAAAGACATTTTTGAAATTTAATTAAATTTTCTTTTCTTTCGAAAGTATTTTCTACATATGACATTTTTCCTCAGTACAACTTTATGGATTAAATTAATAAATGATTAACCTGATATTGTGGTAATGTATCCAGGAAACGACGTATATCCGGATCATCAACTTCATATGTTCGACCGGATAATAAATTAGCATAACCATTTAGCACCAAATCATCTAATCTTCTCAAATTACTAGTATGAATCCATTCTGATATATCCTCTTCCAATTCTATTTGTAAAATAAAAATTTTTCACTAATATTAAATAGTAATTAATTAAGTTTGAAAACTGTTTATAAAATGATTTCAAAAAGAAAAATGCAAATAAAAATACAAATAACTAAAAAAAAATTGCACTAATATAATCAGACAATTGATTTCTTGGACATTTATTATTTGAAAAATAAACAATTATTATTATTTGCAAAATAGATTATCTTTTTTTTTTTTTTTTTGAATGAAATTTAAAATAATTAATTAACCTTGTAAAAGTGGTCCACTCATTTGACCTGTAAGAAGTTCATTCATTTGATCATTGTCTTTAATCATCATTTTAACATCTAATTGATTTTCATTATTTTGATAATAAAGTGCTGTATGGCCAAACTGTAATTATACACTTATTATCATTGATTCAAATTTTAATTATTAAAAATATCGAATATTTCTTTTTTTAATTTTTATTAGATTTATTTAATTTGTTTTTATACTTGAAACAAAATAACATTGTTATTTCAAATTTTTAATAACATTTGATGAAATTTTATAAAAGAAAAATACTTTCTAAAATAAAAGCATAAAATTGAATTAATTTAATTAAAAATTAAATTTGAGGACCTTATCTTCAATAAATGCATCAGCGCCAGCTTTTTGTAGCATATTTACCATAACTTCATTAGCTCGATTTGCAAAAGCATAATGTAATGCTGTTCGACCAGTCTTTAAATTTTCTTTATATTATAAAAATTTTTTTTTTCAAATTACAATTTTCGATGATTTTTTTTTTTGTATAATTATTTGTAGTAAAATATTTTTATTATGATTTTTTCTTATTAAATAATTAATTTTTATAGTAAAAAATTTACTATTTTTAAAAAAAAAAAAATATGATAAAATGAAAATTTTCAAACAGTTAATGTTTCAAAAAAATTATGCTATATAAAAGTAATAATATTTTTATTCGAAATAAATTTTTTTTTTTGTTCAAAATTTTTAATTTATTATTTAAATTAATAAAATGAAAATTATTACATGATTGGTAGCATTAACACAAGATGGATATTTGGCTAACAAATAGCGAACTGTATTTGTTTGTCCATGTAATATAGCTATATGTAAAGGTGTCATACCTTTAAAATTATAAACAATAAATAACTTTTTTTTTTAACAAAACAGAAATGTAAACATTTAATTTGATTAGTTAACATTTATTTATTAATTGCACCAATTAATTTTTTAATTAGTTAAATAATGAAATATGAAAATAAATGACAAATGTATATGTATACATAAATGTTTTATCAATATTAATAAAATAAAAAATTAAATATTTACTTGATTAATTAAAATAAACACAAAATAATTACCATATCGATCGCGTGCAACCGAAAATTTATCATTATCAATTAATGCAATCATTTGTTCAATATCACCTTCCTCTGCTGCCTTATGAATCATATCAATTTTATCCTAAAATTTTCAAAAAAAAAAAAATCGAATATTAAATTTTTTTTTGCTTACAATAAACGAAAAAATATAATTTTCAAAATTTAAAAATGTACATAAATTATTATTTTAACTAAAAATATATTTGATAAAATTTATCAATGATAAAATTAAACTTACTGTTTAATATTTATTGAAAATTTAGCAATAATTACTTGATATTTAGATGATCCTTTAAGAAATTGACTTGTAGCTATATCATTTGAAATTTTATCAGCTAACAGATAACCACGGCCATCAAGAAAAATTTGCTCCAATTGTTTAACATTACCATCTTCGAGCCATTGATTCACTTCATTTTCAGTTGGTGCATCAAAAAAAAGTTATAATTTATTGAAAATTATTTAATAATTTAATTTTAAATTCTTAATGATAAAAAAATCAATCAATTAAATCAGTAATTGCTATCATTGTAAAGTTTTTACTCATTAATGATTAAAATTTAGCTTATTAATAAATATAATTTTTTTTTTCATTGTCATATTATTATCACATATCAGTTAAATAGTTGAACAAATATTTTCTGTGTTATAAATATTTTGAATAATTTACTATAATAAAGTAAGAAAAAATTAATTAATAATTAAAATAAATAAATATAAATTAATCATTTAATTAAAAAAACAATAAAAAAGATAAGTTGTAATTATGAAACAAATTGAAATTATTGAAAAATTTTTTCCACTTTTTTCATTCTTACAATGATCAAAAAAAAAAATGAATGGATGGGTAGATGGATGGAAAAAAATGTATTATTACTAACTTTTATTTGCTTCATTAAAAATATAATAACTTGAAATTAAACTTCAAAATGAAATTTAGCAATTATTTGTTGTATAATTGAAATTGTTAAAAAATATTTTGTTATTACTTTTGTTAAACATTTTAAAAGCACTGACAACACTTTTAAATTAATAATTTAGAAATATTGCTACTTTAAATGAAATAAAAGAATTAATTAAAATAAATTAATGAATTCAATTAATTTATTTTTTTTTTGTTTTTACCAGGATCATATAAATTTTCACTAAGCGAATATCGTTTGAAAATTAGATCAGCATTTGTTGATGATGTCAATGGTGATGGTATCATAGCATTGGAATTTTCTCGATATTGTGCAGCTGTTACACCAATCTAAATTTTGTATCAAAAATTTTAACCTGAAATTAAATTTTAAAATGAAAATTAGTAATTATTTGCTGTATAATTGAAACTGTTAAAAAAAATTTTGTTGTCTCTTTTGTTAAACATTTAAAATGTTTAAAAAATGCTAATAAATAATTAAAAATCTCTTTTAATAAAGATGAAAATAAATTTAAAATTGCTTAAATTCCATCCAAAAAAAAAAATTAAAATTTAAAATATTCAATTATACAATATTCAATATACTACAGAAAATGGAAGAGCATTTTTAATATATTTAGTTTAATCATTTATCATTCATAATTAATTTAGAAATATTGCTTTAGGGTCTAATTTAATTTGCTCAACAATTAAACTTTCAAAACCTTAACTGTCTATTTTATCTTTCTGATTGAAAATCGAACCTGTTTATTGTTTACTTTTTTGTTTATTTTTACTTTTTTATTTGTTTTTCTTTATTTATTTACCTAATTTTATTGGCAATTACTACAATGACTAAAGTGACAGCGTAGCATATTTTGTAAGTAATCAAAATTTGCTCAATTATATGTGTAAATAGTGCATTTCACGTAATCTGAACACGTGAATAACTAAAATTTGACGTACGCTATCAGGAAGTGAACCATCTGCTCCACAATCAATCAATGTATCATAAATTGCATTCTTTTGTATTGCTGCATAGTGCACTGCTGCTCGACCATTCTGGAAAAATCTTTAATTAAATACTTATTATTTCATAGTAATTAATTACTTAAGTATTATCACTAAATTAATTTTACATGTAAACATAAATTAGTTTGTAATTAAATAAAATAATTAAAATATTATCAATTTCATTGCACAGTACACATTAATTAATTGTGGTTTTTTGATAATTTGAATTAATTAAAATTATTAGTACAATAGCCAAACAAACATTGAATTATTCGACTTTATTAAATAATTTCCAAAATTTTTTTTGAACAAATTTCAGTTAATAATTATTACCAATAAAATATGCAATAATTTTTGGGTAGGTTTATTGCTCTTGATTTTTTGAAATTGTAAAATTATTCGATTAAAAGAAAAAAAAAAAGATAAAATTAATTAGGACAAATAATACCGCATCTAAAATATCGATACTTTTTGGAAAAACACTTGCAAGATATTCAACAATTTCATGACGCTCTTTGCATACTGCAAAATGAATTAAACTCAAACCTGAAATTAAATTTTTTTTTTTTTTATTACGATTGAGAAAAAAAAAATAAATAAACAAAAAAAAAATGCATAATAAGAAGAAAAAAATTATAATTAAAGATTTTTTTTTTTCATTTTTTGATCTGATAATTGAAAAATTTTTTTTTCTCTTTTAGCAAAATTAAAATTCTCTCCAAAAAAAAAAAAAAAAAGATTTAAAATGTAAACGAGAAAAAGAAAGATAACTCTAGCATTTCTTGCTTCCACTAAATCACTGTCAAGTAAATTTTTCAATTTTTTCAATTGATTTTCTTCAATGGCTGCCATTGCTGCATTTAAACGATTCTGCAAGAATAAGCAAACAGAATTAATTAAAACAAAAATTAAATAACCATGAAATTATGTAACACAAACTTTTCAAATATATAAGCATAATAGCATTATTGCAGTGTTAATTTTATTTTTTTCTTTTATTCTTTAAAAAATTTTTTTTTTTAAAAAAAAAAGTATTATATTTAAATTTAATTGGTTCAGTTTTTTAAATTTGATTCTACCAAAGTGAAATTATTTGTTTTCTTTTTTCTTCCTCTTCCTCATATTGAAATGCTGGATTTATCAAAAACTAAATTTCTTCCATATAAATTTAAATCATTTGAAGTTTTGAAAAGTTTTTTGAAAATAAAAAAATTAGTGCAAGACTAAGTTTTCGTTCATCAAAGTTTAAAATTTATTAAACAAAACAATAAATAAATAAAAACTTATTTGAAATAATTTTGAATTTAAAAAAAAAAAATAAAAACTTTATTCATTTGAAATAATTTTGAATTATTAAATAAAAGCATTAAACGATTAAAATGCATTCAGGAAAACCTGTTGTTTCCGGAATCGTGTTATATACTGCATCAAATGTTCATTATCCAAATGTTTAGCAACAATATGGCCAACTTCTTGTAATTTACCAGTAATTTGCAAATCTTCCAATTCGGTGAATTTTTTTGCATCAAAATCTAAATTCATTATGCAGCATTCTAAATCTTCGTTCTGTTTTGTTTCAGTCTCACCTGAAATTTACAAAAAAAAGAAATGAAATATTATGATTGAATAAATAGTATATTTAATTATATATTTATAAATATTAGATTCAGTAATTAACTATTATATTTAATAATTAAATATTAGCAACTTCTTAATTCATTTCTTTAAATTATTGTATAATTTAAAACATATTGTAAGTATCTTATTATCGTATATCTTATTGAACATTATTTTTGATCTTCACTTTTTTTTTTTTTTTTTTTCAATTTTTATTTAAAAAATATTTCTTTGACTTTTAATTTTTTTCATTGTGATACTTTTTTTTCTTTTTTTTTTTTAAATTTTCATTTAGTTATAATAATATATTTATAAATATTATGTATAACCAAAGAAAATAGAAACTTATTTTTACTAAAAAGATCATTTATTTTTCTTTTCTTTTTTTCTGATAAAAAATTTTTTCATAAATTTTTTTATCAGTGAAAATCTGATTTATTTGATACTACTGACACCATATTTCTATTTAAAAAATAAAATTCATGATTTATATCATTTTTTTTTAAAATAAAGTTATCACAAACTTTTGGAAATTCTTAATAAACCAACAGAAAAAAGAAGCAAATTATGTTTCCTTTTTTTTTTCATTAATAAAAACTTATAATTCATTCAGTAACTTTTAATTCATAGCTCTAAACTTTTAAATTTTGGAAAAATAATTGAAATCACAAATAAGAGATATTTTGCATCATTATTTTGTTATCGTTTTCATTTATTTCTTTCCAAATTACTTAATTCCAGACAATAAATTTAAATTTTGAATTTTAATATAACAAAAAATAAAATGATTTTAAACCAAATATTAACCTGCTGCCATTTAGGAAATTGTTTTAATGAGCGTTTCTTTCTTTACCTGGAAATTAAGATTTTTCAACGAAAACTAAAAAATTTCTGATAAGCAATAATATACGAAAAATATTTGCATCAAAATAGGTTCAATTCAAATTGCATTAGTATATGAAATAATTAAAAGGAATAAATATCTAATAGGAAGGAAAATTTTTTAAATTAATTCTGTCATGATAATAATATCAAATAGTGACGAATGCATTTTTAATTACATCTTAGCCATTCTTGATTTATGCTAATATCTATCTAAAAGCATCATGAATAATCCATTACATTATCAATTCCCACCAAATTTTTTTTAATATCAGTTTTTTTTAAGATTAAACTTTTGATATTGAAAATTCATCTATTTAAATGAAAAAAAAAAAAAAAAAAAAAGAAAAGAAAAAAGGAAGAAGGAAATGATTCTTTCACTTTTGAAATTGCGAAAAAAAAATAATTGATCGTTTTGTAGTCTTCAATTAGCTTCTAATTGAAGGGGTTTGAGAAATGAAAAATTTTTAAAAACTTCCCTTTCTTCCTTTTCCGCCTAGAAAATATTTCATTGATTAACTGAAATCTGACACCTGAAATATGCTAATTAAGCAGAAAAATGAAAAGAGTAAGAAGCAAAAATTTATGCTACGTTAACTAGAAAGATTTATATTTGAGTGAGTAATGATAAATTAATTAAGCGCTAACAGCAGATTGTATGGAGTTTTCTAGCAATAGCAATAATACTCGATATGACATAAAAGTGATAATAATATTTAAATATTTGAAAAAAAAAATCAGAAATTAAAGTAAATAATAACTGTCAAATTTATCATTTTTGAATTTAAATGCAACATTGTTACATTTATATGAAAAAGTAACATTCTGTAGGCGCAGATACTCCTTTACTTCAATATAATTCAAACAAAATATTTATAAAAAGATTATAAGCACTTAAAAATATTATCAGTTCAAGAGGCTAGTGATAATGATAACAAATACTGTTATGATGTCTGAAAATTATGCTGCCGCTTTAAACAAATCCAACAATGGAAACTAATACAGAATTAGAGGATATATTTATTTTCTTATATTCTAATTTTTCATTTAATTGGATCTAATTTTTTACTCATTAAAAGAAATAAAATCAAAAAAAAAAAGGAAATTTAACAAATCACGGTTTTATACTATTTATCAATTATCTTTTTAATGGAATTCTATTTCCATCAATGAGAAATATTAATAAACTATTTTTTCTGAAAGTGTAAAGCTAAAAAAAAAAAAAAGAAATTAATTTTTACAGGTGAGAAAATTATCGATGGCATGCATAACCAATGATCGATAGAAGATAGTGCATTATAAGCTACCTCCATTATTAATTAAAGAATTAATGTTATCTTAAATGTAGAACTGGGTTATGATGCTTGCATAATATTTGCCTACTGTATTTACATAATATACATAACATATTTACCTACTGTATTTACATAATACATATCATGTTTGCCTACTGTATTTACATAATATACATAACATATTTACCTACTGTATTTACACAATACATATCATGTTTGCCTACTGTATTTACATAATATACATAACATATTTACCTACTGTATTTACATAATATACATAACATATTTACCTACTGTATTTACATAATACATATCATGTTTGCCTACTGTATTTACATAACATATATAACATATTTGCCTACTGTATTTACATAATATATATCATATTTGCCTAATGTATTTGTATAACGTACTATCGCGATATTTGGTTACTGTAGTTTGCATCGTATGAAATACCGCATTTCTCATTCTACAGTACCATTTGACCACTGTACTTTGCATCGTACATTATTACAGTATTAGTCTACTGCATATTACATTGCACAATTTGTCGTAATATTTGAAGATTGTATTTTTAAATATGTCCACTAATACAGCATTCTTTTACCAATTTTACATCCGATATAATTGCTATAAAACTAATAAACAAACATAGATGTACTTATTTATTTTGTAATTTTACAAAAGAATAAATAGCATTAAATGATTATTTAAATTTTCTTTAAGATTTTGTTGAAAAATTTTCAAGAATTTACTTTTTTTACAGTAATTCAATTTTTTAGTTGCATCTTTCCGGTGAAAAGATAATGATGCTATGTTGTAATTATATTAGCAATAAAGAATTAAAATTAATGATGAATATTTTACTGCTAAAGAATTCTACATAATTCTAAATGATGTGATTTATGATCAGCAATCAGCTTTTTTCTTTTTTCATTTTTGGTACATTACATAATTAGTAATTTTATAAGCAAAAATTTTATTCTAGTAAATTTAAATTATTTAAAAAATGAAACAAATAAGTACATAAATAAATTATACATAAATTATTTTTAAAATGAAACAAATATGATTTTGAAATGCCTACATATAGGATTTTCATTCACTTAAAATTATGTATGAAATGAAATGGAAAACAATTGATAAAACGGTTTCATTTTTTTTTTTTTATCCTTTTTACATTTAGCAATTACAGCAATACTTCGATTCCTTCATTAAAAAAGAAAGTTTCAATGCTACTCTTAGAAATGAAAACTGACAAAAGCTAAAGTATGCAAATAATGCATAAATGGTTAAAAACAAACAGATTTCAATTTGATTTTCTATTTTAATTAATATTTACATAAAGTGACTCATACTATTATTAGGAAGCTATTGACTACTATAAAAATTACTATGAGAGCTTTTCATATCGCTTAACAACAAGTTATGTTAAGCATACTCAATAACAACTTTTAATAACTAAACATTCATTTTGTTATTAAAATATCCATTTTAAGCATACTTTGGAATATTAAAAGCTATGGAATATGAATGCATCTACTTTAATTTATTAATTGTCACACACATTTGTGACGTAGATGAAAAATTCTCAAAAATTATTTAAAACCATAAATTTTTTATCAATCTGAGATAAGAAACATTGCAAATAATGAATTATCACTTAAATTTACTGAGTTAGAATGATGTAATTAAATAAATTAATAATAAAATGCTATAAAATTGATAGCATTGTAATCATAGCTGTGATAAGGAAATTATTCAAATTGTTGATAAAGCTATCAGCAATTGTTAACATAATGTACTGTTATCTGATACTGATACAACCAAATTTATTTAACTGAACGGCTAGGAATTCATAGCATTTGAATAATCCTTTACTCCATTTTATTTATCCAATTCTGTTCTTTGAAACAGATTGATTTTATTAAAAATCAATCGTTCAATTTTCTGTTTGTTATCGATATTTCAGCAATTTACCTGAAACGATGAATTCATTAAAATAATAATAATTTTTTGATTTGATATTTATCATCGGCTTATGCTTTACTCAATTATACCAATTCAAATTTAGCTCCTTTATAGTATATTTTTCAAATTCTTGAAATAATCAGGAATAACTGATTCTTTGGCATAAAGCAGTTGATGATTTATTATTTTCTTCTTAATATTTTAAAACTAATTTCGATATACATATATGTATTAACTCAATTAAAGCATCAAATTTAAATAAACTGCAATAAAATTATCAAATATAAGTACTGCTATTCAGTGTTTACCAAGAAATCATCAATTTGACAAAAAGCGCTATTGTCGCATTGCTGTCACTTTATAGCAAATAATATAATTGGCACAGAAAGATTGAAAATAATAAATTCCAAACTATGCAATGGATACCTTTGTTATTATATTCTCATTTTTCTCATTCTTAAAAGAGCCATTAAAACATTTTGTAATTTTGCACTACAGAAATATAATCATAAAATATTGATTGCTTAAGAGAAGTAACAAAAAATTTTCATTGAAAAAACAAACAAAAACTTTTTCCACCTTAATTAAAGGAGTAAAAACATTCTTATTAATATTTAATCTTTTTTAGTAATACAAAAAAAAAAAATTTTTTTTTCTTTTGTTCGTTTTAGCTACTTTTACATAATATATGATAAATAACATAGAAATACAATGATAAAGCAATACAATAGTATCAATTTACTGATAAAAGCTATTATTGATAAATAAATAATGAATGAAGAAGAAAAATTTAGTGTGAAATTTTACAAAAAGTTTTCAAAAATATATTTTATAATTATTTAAAAAAAAATAATAGTAATCAAAAACAAACCAAATATTTCAATGCAATAGCAGCAATACAATAAGAAATATTAAAAAAAATTTTTGAGAGATATCTGATCGACGAATATGACAAAACATTTTTTCTGTTTGGTCAAAAATACAGCAATTTTTCTCTCTCTTTATAATTTTGGAAATTTTTTTTTAATTTAAAAAATTTGTTAGTATTTTTATTTAAAAAAAAATTTGATCAGATTGTTCCAAGTGGTAATTCAACTTATGTCATTTATGCATTGCTGATATAATTAAATCTTTTTACTACAGAATTTTTTTTTGTTTTATAGTATTTCATTCATCTGTTTGCTTAAAATAATTTAAAAATTAATTTTTTAAAAAAATTTTTTTTTAAATTATTTTTTTTTAATAAACTGCTAAAAAAGTTAAAATAAAAATGTTTGAAAACAAGAAGAAAGATGATGCATCTTTTTTCAACATTTTATCATCTTATTTCATGCTAAATTAATGCTAATCTTAATTTTAAATGACAAATACTTTCATTTTGATGGAATATTTTTTTTCTATATTTTTTTTTTTTTTTTTGCTAACTTTTTATGACTTTTTGTTGCTATAAGTAATTTTTAATTAAAAGTATGGGCAACTATCATATATAATCATTGCCACTAACAAATTCACTTTCGCTATTTCTGTTCATTTTTAATTAATTAAAAGAACAAAATTTTTAATTGTAATAAATTCATATCATTTATATCATATACTTAGTATCATTTGTTGATAAACAACTATTATCAATAAATATTTTGGGAATTAATTTTAAATATTACTTTTTTTA